CTATCCATCCCACCCCACCACCTATCAATCCCACCCACCCACCTCTCCATTCCATCCACTGACCTGTCCATCTCACCCACCCACCTGTCAATCCCACCCACTCACCTGTCCATCCCACCAACCATCTATCCATCCCACCCACCCACCTGTCCATCCCACCTATCTATCCATCTTACCCACCAACTTGTCCATCGCACCCACCCACCTGTCCATCCCACCCACTCACCCGTCCATCCCATCCACTCACCTGTCCGTCCCACCCACCCATCTGTATATCCCACCCACCCACCTGTCCATACCATCCACTATCTACCCAACCAACTCACCTTTGCATCCCACCCATCCACCTGTCATTGCCACCCATCATCTATCCATCCTACCCACCGACCTGTCCATCCCACCCACCATCTATCCATCCCACCCACCCACCTGTCCGTCCCATGCACCATGTATCCATCTCACGCAACCACTGGTCCATCCCACCCACCCACCTATCCATCCCACCCACCCACCTATCCATCCCACCCATCCACCTGTCCATTCCAATCACCATCTATCCATCCCACCCACCCACCTATCCATCCCATCCACCCTCCTATCGATTTTACCCACCCTGTTGATCCCACCTGTCCATACCACCACCCACCTGTGGATCCCACCTGTCCATGCCATCACCCACCTGTCCGTCCCACCCACTCACCTCTGCATCCCACCCACCCACCAGTCTAACCCACCCACCATCTATCCATCCCACCCACCCACTTGTCCATCCTACCCACCCACCTGTCCATCCCACCCACTATCTATCCATATCACGCACCCACCTGTCCATCCCACCCACCCACCTGTCAATCCCACCCACTATCCCACCCACCCACCTGTCCATCCCACCCACCATCTATCCATCCCACCCACCCACCTGTCCATCCCACGCACTCTCTATCCATCCCATCCACTCTCTTATCTATCCCACCCACTCAATTATCCATCGCACCCATCCACCTGTTCATCCCACCCACCATCTATCCATCCTACCCACCCACCAGTCCATGCCACACAGCCACCTGTGCATCTCACACACCCACCTGTCCAACCCACCCATCTATCCATCCCACCCACCCACATATCCATCTCATCCACCCACCTATCCATTTCACCCAACCATGTGTCCATCCCACCCACCACCTGTTCATCCCATCCACTCACCTGTCCATCTCACTGACTCACCTGTCCATCTCACTGACTCACCTGCCCATCCCCCACCCACCTGTCCATCCCACCCACCCACCTGTCCATCCCACCCACCCACCTGTCCATCCCACCCACCATCTATCCCACCCACCCACCTATCTATCCCACCTACCCCCCTCCATCCCATCCACCATGTATCCTTCCCACCCAACCACCTGTCCATCCCACCCACCAACCTGTACATCCACCCACCCACCTGTCCATCCCACCCACCATCTATCCATCCCACCATCCCACATGTCCATCTCACCCACACACCTGTCCATTCTACACCCTGTATCATCCCACCCACTCACCTATGCATCCCACCCATCCACCTGTCCATCCCACCCACCATCTATCCATACCCACCCACCTGTCCATCCCACCCATCTATCCATCCCACCCACCACCTATCCATCCCACCCACCGACCTCTCCATTCCATCCACTCACCTGTCCATCTCACCCACCCTCCTGTCAATCCCACCTACTCACCTGTCAATCCCACACATCATCTATCCATTCCACCCACCCACCTGTCCATCCGACCCACACTCTATCCATAACACCCACCCACCTGTCCATCCCACCCACTCAACTGTCCATCCCAGCTACCCACCTGTCCATCCCACCCACCCAACTATCCATCCCACCCACCATCTATCCATTCCACCCACCCTCCTGTCAATCCCACCCACCATCCATCCCACCCACCCACCTGTCCATCCCACCCACCATCTATCCATCCTACCCACCCACTTGTCTATCCCACCCACCATCTATCCATCTCACCCAACCACCTGTCCATCCCACCCACCCACCTATCCATCTCACCCACCATCTATCCATCCCACCCATCCACCTGTCCATTCCAATCACCATCTATCCATCCCACTCACCCACCTATCCATCCCTCCACCCTATCGATTTCACCCACCCACCTGTCCATACCACCATCCACCTGTCGATCTCACCCACTCATCTCTGCATCCCACCCACCCACCTGTCCATCCCACCACCATCTATCCATCCCACCCACCCACCTGTCCATTCCCCCCACCCATCTGTCCATCCCACCCACGATCTATCCATCCCACCCACCCACTGTCCATCCCACCCACCCACCTGTCCATCCCACCCACTATCCATCCCACCCACCCACCTGTCCATCCCACCCACCCACCTGTCCATCCCACCCACCATCTACCCATCCCACCCACCCACCTGTCCATCCCACACACCATATATCCATCCCACGCACCAAACTGTCCAACCGACCCACCCACCTATCCATCCCACCCATCATCTATCCATCCCACCCACCCACCTATCCATCCCACCCACCATCTATCCATCCCACCCATTCACCTGTCCAACCCACCCACTGTCCATCCCACCCACCATCTATCCATCCCACCCACCCACATGTCCATCCCACCCACCACCTATCCATCCATCCCACCCACCCACCTGTCCATCCCATCCACCCACGTGTCCATCCCTCCCACTATCTATCCATCCCACCCACCCACATGTCCATCCCACCCACCTACCTGTCCATTCCATCCACTTTCTTTCCATCCCACGGACTCAGCTATGCCTGCCATCCATCCACCTGTCCATCCCCTCCACCATCTATCCATCCCACCCACCCACCTGTCCATCCCACCCACCATCTATCCATTCCACCCACCCACCTGTTCTTCCCACTCACTCACCTGTCCATCCCCCCCACTATCTATCTATCCCACCCACCTACCTGTCCATCCCACCCACCATCTATCCATCCCACCCACCCACCTGTCCATCCCACCCACCATCTATCCCTCCCACCTACTCACCTGTCCATCCCACCCACCCACTTGTCCATCCCACCCACCATCTTTCATCCCACCCATGCATCTGTCCATCCCACCCACCGTCTATCCATCCCACACACCCACCTGTCCATCCCACCCACCATCTATCCATCCCACCCACCCTCCTGTCCATCCCGCCCACCCTCCTGTCTATCCCACCCACCCACCTGTCCATCCCACCCACCCTCTATCCATCTCACCCACCACCTCTCCATCCCACCTACCATCTATCCATCCCACCCACCCACCTGTCCATCCCACCCACCATCTATCCCTCCCACCCACTCACCTGTCCATCCCACCCACCCACTTGTCCATCCCACCCACCATCTTTCATCCCACCCATGCATCTGTCCATCCCACCCACCATCTATCCATCCCATCCACCCATCTATCCATCCCATCCACTCACCTGTCCATCCCACCCACCCACCTGTCCGTCCTACCCACCATCTATCCATCCCACCCACCCACCTTCCATCCCACCCACCATCTATCATCCCACCCTCTCACCTGTCCATCCCACCCACCCACCTATCCATCTCACCTACCATCTGTCATCCCACCCACCATGTATCATCCCACCCACTCATCTATCCATCCCACCCACCCACCTATGCATCCCACCCACCATCTATCATCCCACCCACTCACCTATCCATCCCACCTATCCATCCCACCCACCGTCTATCGTCCCATCCACTCACCTATCCATCCCACCCACCATCTGTCATCCCACCCACCATCTATCATCCCACCCACCATCATCCCACCCACCTACCTATCCATCCCACCCACCCTCTTTCCATCCCACCCACCCACCTATCCATCCCACCCACTCACCCATCCATCATACCCACCCACCATCTATCATCCCACCCACCCACCTATCCATCCCCCCACCCACCTATCCATCCCCCCACCCACCTATCCATCCCACCCACTCTCTATCCATCCTGCCCACTCATCTATCCATCCCACCCACCATCTATCATCCCACCCACCCACCTATCCCACCCACTCATTTATCCATCCCATCCATTCACCCACCTCCTCCTTTATCCATCTTAACAATTCATATCAACCATTCCCTCACCTATTCATCTGTCTGTTCAGCTGTTCATGCATTCATTGATCGTTCCATCCACACACCTTATTTATCCACACACCTACCTACCTACCCACCCACTCATTTATTCACCCACCCCCTCATTCATCCAGCAAACGTGTGCACAATACCGGCTATGTGCCAAGCTAAGTCTGGTGGAGATTAGATACTAGTCAGGATAGACAGACAGCAAATAATTAGGCTAATAAGCTATATCTGGTAATAATAAGTGCTTTAAAGAAAACAAGAATGGTTCCAGTGGCTCACACCTATAATCCCAGCGCTTTGGGAGGCTGAGGTGGGCTGATCATGAGGTTAGCAGTTTGAGACCAGCCTGGCCAACATAGTGAAACCCCATCTCTTCTAAAACTACTGTACAAGAAAAATTAGCCAGGCGTGTTGGCGGGCACCTGTCATCCCAGCTATTTGGGAGACTCGGGCAGAAGAGTCGCTTGAACCTGGGAGGCGGAGGTTGCAGCGGGCTGAGATCATGCCACTGTACTCCAGCCTGGTGACAGAGCAAAACTCTGTCTCAAAAAAAAAAAAAGAAAGAAAGAAAGAAAAAAATATGAATACTAGCTCATTGGGGATTGTGTAGGAGATGGGGGTCGTAAGGCTAGCTGGGTCCTGTGGGGGAAATGGAGCTCCGGGTGGGAGGCACGGAGGAAGAACCCATGAGGTCTGCCTGGTGGTTCCCTCTGCCCATTGGCGTGTTGTCTGGGAGACTCACCTGGTTTTGCCTCAGCTCACCCCTCCCGCTGTGGGCTCTCTCTGCCTCCCTTTCCCTCCTGTGTGCTACAGGTGAAGGCCGCAGTGCACCTGGCCTACCTTCGGGCCGTGGGCACCCCCCTCTGCCTCTACGCACTTTTCCTCTTCCTCTGCCAGCAAGTGGCCTCCTTCTGCCGGGGCTACTGGCTGAGCCTGTGGGCGGACGACCCCACAGTGGGTGGGCAGCAGACGCAGGCAGCCCTGCGTGGCGGGATCTTCGGGCTCCTCGGCTGTCTCCAAGGTACGCCTCACCTGCCTTCATCCCCTCCTCCAGCTCCACCGAGGGCTGCTCAGGGCTCCTTTGCCCCATCCCTCCCTGGGTCACCTCTGGAACAACTGTGCAAAATGTCCGGGGTCCAAGCAAAGATCTATGTCCTTAAAATGATGCTGGAGAGAACGAGGAGGACAGGGCACATCCCTCCTTTTCTGGAACCTTCAGAACGTCCCCCAGTCCATCCCTGCTAGCGGAAGGCAGCTCCAGGGCCTGCCGGCCGGTGGCTTTCAGTGCCTGTCCCCAAACCTCCAGACCTTCCCTAACAGACGCATCACTGCTGTCGCTCTGTCTTCTCCTTGTTAAAAATGGAAATACTGAAATACTGGTAGATTGACATGCAGTTCCAGGAAATAAGGCAGCCAGCTACCTTGTGCAGTCTGCCCAGTTTCTCCCAGTGGAGATATTTTGCCAAAGGATAGTAAAGTATCACACAAGGCCGGGCACAGTGGCTCACATGTGTCATTCCAGCACTTTGGGAGGCCAAGGCAGGCGGATCACAAGATCAGATCAAGACCATCTTGGCCAACATGGTCAAACCGTGTTTCTATTAAAAGCAAAAACTAGCTGGGTGTGGTGGTAGACACCTGTAATCCCAGCTCCCAGCTACTCGGGAAGCTGAGACAAGAGGATTGCTTGAACCCAGGAGGCAGAGGTTGCAGTGAGCCAACACTGTGCCACTGAAGTCCAGCCTGGTCACAGAGCAAGACGCCATCTCGAAAAACAAAAACAAAAAAAGTATCACACATAAAGAATACTGAAACTCATCAATCTATGGATCTCATTCATTCATTCATTTATTAACAGTCTCATTCTGTCACCCAGGCTGGAGTACAGTGATGAGATCTCTTCTTGCTATAACCTCTGTCTCCCAGTTCAAGAATTCTCCTGCCTCAGCTTCCCGAGTAGCTGGGAGCTGGGATTATACATGTGCACCACCAGGCCTGGTTAATTTTTGTATGTTTAGTAGAGATGGGGTTTCACGATGTTGGCCAGGCTGGTCTCAAACTCCTGACCTTAAATGATCTGCCCGCCTCAGTCTCCCAAAGTGCTGGGACTACAGGCATGAGCCCCCACGCTAGGCCTCATGGGTCTCATTCTGATTTCCCCAGTTTTACTTGCACCTGGGTGTGTGCATGTTTGCTTCTGTGTACTTGTATCTGGTTTGGGCTCTCACCCAAATGTGATTGACATTTGAGATACTTAACAACCCCCTCACCACCTGGTGCTCTCGTGTTGCCCTTTTACAACCACACCCACCTTCCTCCTGCCTCCCCCAGCCCATCCCTAACACCTGGTTCTTCTCCTGTGAGTATGTGGCCTGGCTGAAGGGAGTCACGGGAGTGCACATGTGAGTTTGGCTTATTTATTTATTCACACACACACACTGTGTGGCTTTGTCACCCAGGCTGGAGTGCAGTGGTGCAAACTTGGCTTGCTGCAACCTCCACCTCCTGGGCTCAAGCAATCCTCCTACTTCAGCCTCCCGAGTAGCTGGGACTACATGTACATCCCACCGTGCCCGGCTAATTTTTTTTTTTATAGAGACAGGATTTGGCATGATGCCCAGGGTGGTCTAAAACTCCTGGGCTCAGGCAGTCCTCTGCCTCAGCCTCCCAAAGTGTTGGGATTACAGACATGAGCCACCATGCCCAGCCTGGCTTCATCTTTAAAGGATAGTTGCCTCACTTCTATGTTGATTTGTCCTCATTCACTGGGTGACCTTGGCCACATCACCAAAATGCTGTGAGACTGTACCCTCCTCTATAAAAAGGGGGTGCCAGGCCTGAACTTGAGGACTCTTCTAGTCCTAAGAACCTGGAGACCTGCCCACCACAACTGCGCGTACAGTGGAATGCTCACGGCGAATGGCTACTGAACCGAGAGGAAACGAGGGACTGTCAGAGTCTGCTGAGCCCTGGAATTAACCCAGGTCCTCATGTGGGTGGCAAATGGCCCTTTCAAAATCCTTCCACTGCCATCCCTCATTTGATAGCTAAGGGCAAGGCTTACTCTCCCTTAAAGATGGAAAGACTGGAGCCGAGAGAGAGAAATTGGTTATGATTCTTTTGAATACAAAGAATAAAAAAATTCAGCTCCAGCCCAGACACAGCGGCTCATGTCTGTCATCCCAGCACTTTGGGAGGCCAAGGTGGGCAGATCACTTGAGGTCAGGAATTTGAGACCAACCTGGCCAACATGGTGAAACCCCATCCCTACTAAAAATAGAAAAATTAGCCAGGCGTGGTGGGGGGCACCTGTACTCCCAGCTCCTCGGGAGGCCGAGGCAGGAGAATCGCCTGTGAACCTGGGAGGTGGAGGTTGCGGTGAGCTGAGATGGCATCACTGCACTGCGGCCTGGGTAGCAGAGCGAGACGCCATCTCAGTAAAAGGAAAAATCAGCCCCAATTCAAAGTGATTTAAGCAACAAGAGAATCGATTGGCTCATAGGACGCGTATGTTTAGGGTTCTGGCTTCAGGTACAGCTGGATATAGGAGGCCAAACAAGAAATCACGCCATTTCCGTTCCCTCCCCTGCGACAGCTTCCTGTCCAGCTCAGCTGCTCCCTCTGGTGGCAAGATGATATTCCACAGCTGCAGCTTGGCCACCTCCAGGAACCAAGTACTAGCCAAGTCTCGGGTCTCCCCGTCATTGGCTGGACTTGGTTATGCGCTCGTCCCTGATCCAGTTTCAGTGGTTTGGATTAGCCATGGGTGAAATTTGCCCCGCTCCAGAGGAGAAGTTAGCCCCACCCCAAGCATACAGATCAGCACTGGGAGGAAGGATGTGCCTTTTTCTCCTAGGGCTACTGCAAAACCAGTCGCCACAAACTTGGGAGCCCAGCATAGCTGAAGTTTGTTCTCTTGCAGTTCTGAGGCCTGAAGTCTAACATCAAGGTGTCATCTGGGTTAATGCCTTATGGAGGTTTTGAGGGAGATCCCCCCGACCCCCACCACCCCAAGCCTTCTCTCCTGGTTTCCAGGTGGTCTACCGGAAGTCCCCGGCATTCCTTGGCTTGCAGATGTGTCCTCTAATTTATGCCACAATCTTCACATCTCCTGCTCTATGTCTCAGTATCCTCTAGTAGTCTTACACAAATGGCAGTCATTAAATTTAGGAGCCATCCCAAATGAGTTTTGGGGGATACTCTTTAATCCATTACATCAAGAAACAAGCAGAGTCTGGGTGCAGTGGCTCGTGCCTGTCATCTCGGGCCAAGGCAGGCAGATCACTTGATCCCAGGAGTTCGAGACCAGCCTGGACACATAGCAAGATCCCATCTCTACAAAAAATACCCAAAATTAGCCAGTGTGGGGGTATACACCCGTGGTCCCAGCTACTCAGAGGCTGAGGCAGGAGAATAAATTGAGTCCAGGCGATCAAGGCTGCAGTGAGCCATGATCATGCTACTGTGCTTCAATATGGGTGACAGAGTGAGTTCCTGTCAAAAAATACCTAATAGGGTGGTTAAACCATAAGATGTCCGCCATGAGGTAGTGGGGGTGACCCGTGCAAGGCCCCCCGGGGACACTCCTGAGGGTCTGCAGCCTTCATGCTCTTACCTCCTCTCCCTCCCCAGCCATCGGGCTGTTTGCCTCCATGGCTGCGGTGCTCCTAGGTGGGGTCCGGGCATCCAGGTTGCTCTTCCAGAGGCTTCTGTGGGATGTGGTGCGATCTCCCATCGGCTTCTTTGAGAGGACGCCCGTCGGCAACCTTCTGAACCGCTTCTCCAAGGAGACGGACACGGTGGACGTGGACATCCCAGACAAACTCCGGTCCCTGCTGATGTACGCCTTTGGACTCTTGGAGGTCAGCCTGGTGGTGGCAGTGACTACTCCACTGGCCATTGTGGCCATCCTGCCATTGTTTCTCCTCTACGCTGGGTTTCAGGTATGGAGAAGTCAGGGAGGCTTCTGGGACCACCTGAGGTCAACTCAGCCAGTCCCCTGTCTCTGGGGAAGACTCCATATATGAGGTTTCACCCAGCTGGGCATCTAGGGGCTGTTCCTAGAATTCCCAGGGACAGAGACACTACAGTCTTTCTGATGTCTCCACTAGTCTCTGTCTCTCAAAGTTCTTTTTTTAAGAGACAGAGTCCTGCTCTTCTGCCCTGGCTGAAGTGCAGAGGTGATCATAGCTCACTGCAGCCTTGAACTCTTGGGCTTAAGTGATCCTCCTACCTCAGCCTCTCTAGTAGGTGGGACTACAGACACGTGCCACCATGCCTGGCTAATTTTTAAGTTTATTTTTGTAAAGACAGGTGTCACATCACGTTGCCCAGGCTGGTCCCAAATTCCCAGCCTCAAGTGATCCTCCCACCTTGGCCTCCCAAAATTCTGGGATTAGAGGCATGAGCCTCTGTGCCTCATGGCACAGTTAAATCCTAAGGGCCAGAGCTCTTCGTGTGTAATGTTTTTACCCTGCTGCCATTGCCTCCTCTCCAGTTATCTGGAGGCCAAGAAGGCATTGCAAGGTCTCAAAGGCTATTATGCTACAGTCTTTCAGAGACCAGAGACCAACTAAAATTGGCTTAACCAAAAGAACAGGATTTAATGGCTTACATTCCTAGGATGCTTGGGCCCAGCTGTCATCAGGACACAGTGACTCTCTCCATATCTTCACTCAGTGCTTCTTAAGGGTAGGCCCCAGGATCAGCAGTAGTATCACATGGGGACTAGTTAGTGATGTACATTCTTAGGCCCCAGCCCAGGCCTACTGACTCAGATCTCTGTGGGTTGGCCTGTTAATCTAGGTTTTAATTAACCCTCCAAGTAATTCTGATGGACATGAATATTTAGGAGCCATTGGCTTAACCCTGTTTGGTCTAATTTTGCACATGCTCTCTTTCCAAGGCAGGTCTGATGGCCACTAGCCATTATATCATCTCACTTTAGCAATTCAACATGTAAAAAAACATTTCTTCAGCTCAGTAGTCATATATTAATCCCAGGGAACATTCTGATTGGCCCTTTGTGGATCATGTGTCCATCACAGTAACTGAATAAATAGACTCTGATAGACTAGGCTGTGTCACATGACCGCTTCTCTGATCAGGTCCCATATTGACAGTACCCAACCCAGTCCCTTCCCATAGGAAACCAGAAGTAGAATAAAAGAAAACATGGTAGTCAGATAAAAAACCATGGCTGGGGCCAGGGGTGGTAGCTCACACCTGTAAAACCAGCACGTTGGGTCCAGGCACAGTGGCTCATGCCTGTAATCTCAGCACTTTGGGAGACTGAGGTGAGTGGAACATAATGTTAGGAGTTCAAGACCAGCCTGACCAACATGGTGAAACCCCATGTCTACTAAAAATGCAAAAATTAGCTGGGCATGGTGGTGCACACCTATAATCCCAGCCACTCAGGAGACTGAGGCAGGACAATTGGTTGAACCCATGAGATGGAGGTTGCAGTGAGCTGAGATCATGCCACTGCATTAGCCTGGGTGACAGAGTAAGAATCCATTTAAAAAAAAACAAAACAGCACTTTGGGAGGCTGAGGTGAGCAGATCATTTGAGACCAGCTTGGCTAACGTGAAAACCCGTCTCTACTAATAATACAAAATTAGCTGGTGTAGTGGCACATGCCCGTAATTCCAGCTTCTTGGGGGGCTGAGGAAGGAGGATTGCTTGAACTCGGGAGGCAGAGGTCGCAGTGAGCTGGGATTGTGCCACCGCACTCCAGCCTGGGCAACAGAGTGAGACTGAATCTCAAAAGACAAAAAACCAAAAACCCATGGCTGCCACTGTCCCCCCACGGCTGTCCTATGCCTTCTCTAAGTCCACTTGACTCCGATGATGGGCTGTTTCTGTCTCAAGCTTTGGAGTCAAGCAGAGATGGATTTGAATCCAGACTCTGCCACTTAATGTGGAGCTCAGGACAGCTGCTGAATCCCCAGAGCCTCGGATGTTCTCACCATTAACTGATGAATGACAGGAATGCCACACTGCAATGAATGAAACACTGTAAAAAGCCTGGCACACACAGCTTGGGCGTTCAGCAAATTCAGTTCCTCTCTGACTGCCTGTCTGCCAGGTGCACCCAACCTGCAGCTGCAAACCAGATAACAGATTTTCTGTGCATCCCCTGGCATGTAACCCTTGGGTTACATGAGTGAAACTGACTTGGCCAACTGTCTTCATTTCCCCTTGAAGTTTTGGTCTCCCAATGACCAGCCCTAAATGAAGTAGTTGACCTCAGTGCTGGGAAGTGAAACGCTTAAACTAAATTGGTGGTCTCTCAACCCTGGCTGTTCATTAGAATCATCTGGAAGGCTATTTAAACAGCACCAAAGTCAAGGTGACATTGCCAGAGATTCTGATTCAGTCATTCTGGTGTGGGGCATTAGAGGTTTCTGAAGCTCCTCACGTAATTTAAAACAAAAAAACAAAAAACACTGAACTCTGATTCTGTTTAAAAAAAAAAAAAAAAAAAGGAAACCCAGAGAGGGCAAGCAACTAGCCCAAGGTCACACAGCAAGGTGGTAACAGAGCCTGGTCTGGAACCCTGTACTTGGGGCTCTGTCTGCTTCTGGAAACTACCTCTCTATGTCTCTGGCTTCTCCTTTCCCCTCTCACATCCTTCCTTCTCAGAGCCTGTATGTGGTGAGCTCATGCCAGCTGAGACGCTTGGAGTCAGCCAGCTACTCGTCTGTCTGCTCCCACATGGCGGAGACATTCCAGGGCAGCACAGTGGTCCGGGCGTTCCGAACCCAGGGCCCCTTTGTGGCTCAGAACAATGCTCGCGTGGATGAAAGCCAGAGGATCAGTTTTCCGCGACTAGTGGCTGACAGGTAGGAAGAGCCAGGGCAGAGAAGATCTTGTAATTCATCCATATCCTCAGAGGGTGAGACCTGAGGTCATATATTTTAGCTAGAGAGGTCACCCAGAGAGCTTGGGACATAGTCAAGGCCAGATCCTACAGGCAGTCTCTCGGTTCTGACTGTGGGCAGATGGAACATGACTGAGAGGTTCCCAACAGCAGGTGAGCAGTAGGTACAGGAAGAAGCTTCGGCTGCCAGGCAACCGGGTCAGCCTCTTTTGCCTTGGTGATGAAGCAGCCGTACCAGCACCCTCAGCTATCTTTAGATACTAAGCAAGAACAACACAAGTTTAAGAACAGATAAACACAGGTTCAAATCCCAGCTCTGCCACTAACCAGCTGGTTGATTTCAGGCAAGTTAGAGAGCCTCTCTGAGCCTCATTTGTCAGACAGGGATCATGCTCATGGAGTGGATGTGAGGATTAAATACAGACACTCATAGATAAGACTTGTAACATGCTTACTGCATGCTTGGCACTGTGCTGAGCAACCTATGTGGATTAATGTATTTAATTCTGCCAACAACTTCACCAGGCAGAAACCGTTTTATGCATGATAAACCCTAGGCACAGAGAGGTTTGGAAACTTGTCCAAGGTCACAAATGCCCAAGAGTCAGGATTTGAATCCAGGCAGTCTGGTACCAGAGTGTGGAGAGAGTTAAGTACACACAAGGTACTCAATAACATGTTAAGTCCTCTTCCCTCTCTGCGAAGGTCCCCAGCCAGCTGGGGCTGTGTCGTAGTCCGTCTTCACACTGCTATAAAGAATTACCTGAAACTGGGTGATTTATAAAGAAAGGAAGGTTTAATTTACAGTTCCACATGGCTGAGGAGGCAGAAGGGGAAGTAAGGCATATCTTACACGGCGGCAGGCAAGAGAAAGCGCAGAGGGGAACTGCCACAGCCTTTTAAATAATCAGATCTCAGAAGAACTCACTCACCATCAGGAGAACCACCTGGGAAAACTGCCCCCATGATCCAATCACCTTCCACCAGCTCCATCCCTTCACACGTGGGTATTATAGTCTGAGCTGAGATTTGGGTGGGGATACAGAGCCAAACCATGGAGGCCAGGGGAATGGCGGGTGGACGTGGCTTGGCAAATTCCAGGAACAGAAAAGCAGCCACACAGGGAAGCTCTATGGAGCACCGCGAGTACCCCATACCCGGAGCTGAGACAGGACCAGTGTCACCTTCCTCCACTCCCTGAGCCAGGATGGGGCCTTGCATGTGGAGGCCATTGCTGGGAGCCCTGTGGGTACTAAGCTGGCACGGTGACCAGTCCTTGTGCCCAGAGAAGCATCTCCCTGCAGATAAGAGTTCCAACTCGCCCTACTGTTGCCTCCCATTGCAGGTGGCTTGCGACCAACGTGGAGCTCCTGGGGAATGGGCTGGTGTTCGCGGCTGCCATGGGTGCTGTGCTGAGCAAAGCCCGCCTCAGCGCTGGCCTCGTGGGCTTCTCTGTCTCTGCTGCCCTCCAGGTACTCCCCATACCCCCAAACTGGGCTTAAGGGGCAGACAGAGGCAGAGACCGTCAGAACCCTGCCTGTGGGACCTTCAAAGACCCCAAGTCCAAACCACTAAGGGGTCTGGAGTCCCTCTGCCAAGGAGGGACACACAGCTCCACAAAAGCCAGACTCAGCCAAGGTGACCTTGAACCTTGGTCAAGAGTCTTTCCTCGTGGAGTCTCAGTGTGCTCCTTCGAAAAATAGGCCAGTAATCCCATCACTTCTGATGTTATAAAGGCTAGTTGAGACAGAGAATATCCTGTGGAGGACATTTCTAGTGCATTGTTACTTTTTTTTTTTTTTTTTTTTTTTTTTTAAGAGAGTCTCAGTCACTCGGGCAGTGGTGCAGTCTCGGCTCACTGCAACCTCTGCCTCCTGGGCTCAAGCAATTCTCATGCCTCAGCCTCCCAAGTTGCTGGGATTACAGGCATAAGGCACTACACTTGGCTATTTTTTAGTATTTCTAGGCAAGATGGGGTTTCATTACGTTGGCCAGGCTGGTCTCCAACTTCTGTGCTCAAGTGATCCACCCACCTCTGCCTCTCAAAGTGCTAGGATTACAGGCATGAGCCACCGTGCCTGGACACATTTTGTTAACTATTAATAACAGTATGTAATGTCAGTCTGTGACATCTATTGTATATACACATATAAGCATTTGTAATGGAGGCGGCACTATTCTAAGAGCTTTAGACAATTTTGTTGATTTTGGTTTGTTGTTGAGACAGGATCTCATTTTGTTACTCAGGCTTGAGTGCAGTGGTGTGATCTTGGCTCACTGCAGTCTCCATCTCCAGGCTCAAGGGATTCTCCAACCTCACTTTGCCAGTTAGCTGGGACTATAGGTGTGCACCACCATGCCTGACTAATTTTTTTTTTTTTAGAAACGGTTTCACCGTGTTGCTCAGTCTGGTCTCAAACTCTAGGTTCAAATTGTCTGACTGCCTCAGCCTCCCAAAATGCTAAGATTATAGGTGTGAGCCACCATGTCCTGCTGTTTTGGTTTGAGACAAGGTCGCACCCTGTCACCCAGACTGGAGTACAGTGACGTGATCACAGCTCACTGCAGCCTCCAACTCCTGGGGTCAATCTTCTCATCTTGGCCTTCCAAAAAGCTGGCATTATAGGGTACTGTCATTATCCTCATTTTATAGTTGAGGCTGCTAAGCTTAAGGATGAAGTAAGAGGCTGGCGCATGTTGGGTGGGGGGTGGGGGGTGGGGGGTATTTTCCTACGACATCCAGAAAGGCCTCTCTGAGGAGGTGACTTAGGAGGAAGTGAGGTAACAGCAGGAGAAAAAGCCCTGGGAGTTAAAGGTTCATCCCTGGTGTGTGAGAGGAACAGCAAGAAAGTGGGTGTGGCTGGAGAGGGTAGGCAAAGGCAGGGGTGCTGGGAAACAAGATTGGGGACGGGATGGCAGGACTAGAGCTGGTAATGGCTCATAGGAAGGAGCTTGGAGCAGTTTCAAGTGTCATGGGAAATCAGTGGCCACCTGGTCACAGTGGGGAAGCTGTCAGAATGGAATCAGTGACCCCGGGTCCTGTTGGGTGTCCTTGGGAGGGCCACACACCCTCTCTGGTCCTGTCTTCCCACCTGCATCAAGGCAGTTTGTACAGGCTGACGCCTGAGAGCTGCTTTTTGCTCTGCATGCTCTGGTTCTGCTGAAGGAAGGGGAGGAACCTGTTGGTTGCATCCAAATCCCAATTCCCTGGGTCCAGGTCCTCAGACTGCCCCACTCCTGCCTCCCTCTTTGCTCCCCTGAGTCTAGCCTCCCAGCAAAGGCTGGGAAACCTGGGGGGCTGATGCGAGCCCTCAAGTGGCCATGCCAAGGCATCTCCAAACCTGAGATGCCTTCTTGCACCAGGTGACCCAGACACTGCAGTGGGTTGTTCGCAACTGGACAGACCTAGAGAACAGCATCGTGTCAGTGGAGCGGATGCAGGACTATGCCTGGACACCCAAGGAGGTGATGGGTGGGAGGTGGGGAGGGGGCCCCGCAGGAACATATGGGGGGGACAGTGGGTCCCTGTTGACATCTGCTGCAGGCTTTGGGGCTTGCACCCTCTTCTCCCCTGACTCAACCCCACCACTATAGGTCAGAGTCACAGACAGGGTGTCAGCAATGGTTAGGAGCATAAGGTTTGGAGCCAGGCCAAATCTTGGCTCCTTTGCTTCTGAGCTTGAGGAAAGCTGATCATCTATGGGAGTGGCAGGGGACCATGAGGAGCAGCACCGCAACAGCAGTGTAGCTGCAACATGATAGTAACATAACGACAACAGCAGCATGATGGCAATATTCCAGCAACATGATAGTAACACATCCCATGCCTGCCCTTGTTGAATTCCCATAACCCTGTAAAACAGGAATAAATATGTCCATTTTGCAGAAGAGAAAAGTGAAGCTGAGAGAGGTGGGCCATCTTGTGTAAAGTCTTAGAGGAAGCCTCCTCTGACTCAGTGTCCCCTCCTGCTCCAGGCTCCCTGGAGGCTGCCCACGTGTTCACCTCAGCCCCCCTGGCCTCATGGTGGGCAGATCGAGTTCCGGGACTTTGGGCTAAGATACCGACCTGAGCTCCCACTGGCTGTGCAGGGCGTGTCCTTCAAGATCCACGCAGGAGAGAAGGTGAGTGGTTGTCTCACAATGTCCTCTTCATGGAATTCAGGCCAAAGGACTCCAGGGGCCAGGCCCTAAACCCTGGGCACCAACTGACTCCTCGGTGTCCCCACCTCAGGTCTCCTAGCTTTCAGACCTTTTACTCCCTACACAGAAGTTCTCACCTTCCCCAAACCTGTTTCCATCTTGTGACTTCCTCATCCATCTTGGCGTCCTCAGATGAGGAAGCAACTCCCTGACTTTCTTCTTCCTTTAACATTAACCCAGCACCTAATATGTGCTGGGCAGTGTGTTAAATGCTCCAAGTACGTTTTCCAGTTTGCACAAATGGGTTATTGGCTTTGCTGTGGGAGGCGTGAAAATCACTTCATAGCTCTGTCTCAGTTTTCCCATCTGTAAAATGAGACTGGTAATACTGATCTTTGAGTTGTGAAGTTTAACACATAAAAAATGCTCGGCTCATACAGAGTGCTCCGGAAATGTTTACTAATGCTTTTATTATTTGCATTTTTACTCTCACGACAAACATACAAGGGAGATGCTAGTACTATCCCATTTTACAGAGGCCCCATCGGGCCCCTTTACTGAATGTCTTTCTTCCCTGCCCCTCCTTGTCCCTGGGTCCCACTTCCTACTCTAGGTTTCCAGTGGATCCTGTATCACCAGTTCCAATCTGGTCTCTTGTGATTTTTAAAAATTAGATCTTATTTTTTTAAATTATACTTTAAGTTCTGGAGTACATGTGCAGAACACTCAGGTTTGTTTCATAGGTATACACATGCCATGGTGGTTTGCTGCATCTGTCACCCTGTCATCTACATTAGGCATTTCTCCTAATGCTGTTCCTCCCCTATCCTCCCACCTGCTGACAAGCCCCGGCGTGCGATGTTCCCCTCCCTGTGTCCATGTGTTCTCATTGTTCAACACCCTCTTAAGAGTGGGAACAGGCGGTGTTTGGTTTTCTGTTCTTCTGTCAGTTTGCTGAGAATGATGGCTTCCAGCTTTATCCATGTCCCTGCAAAAAACATGAACTCATCCTTTTTTATGGCTACATAGTATTCCATGGTGTATATGTGCCACATTTTCTTTTTCCAGTCTATCATTGATGGGCATTTGGGTTGGTTCCAAGTCTTGGCTATTGTGAACAGTGCCACAAACATATGTGTGCATGTGTCTTTATAGAACGATTTATAATCCTTTGGGTATACACCCAGTAATGGGATTGCTGGGTCAAATGGGATTTCTAGTTCTAGTTCCTTGAGGAATCGCGACACTGTTTTCTGCAATGGTTGAACTAATTTACATTCCCACCAACAGTGTAAAAGTGTTCCTATTTCTCCACATCCTCTCCAGCATCTGTTGTCTCCTGATTTTTTAATGATCGCCATTAGAACTGGCATGAGATTGTATCTCAATGTAGTTTTCATATGCATTTCTCTAATGACCAGGGATGATGAGCTTTTTTTCCTATGTGTATTGACCGCATAAATGTCTTTTGCGAAGTGTCTGTTCATATCCTTTGACCACTTTTTGATGGTTTTTTTCCTTGAAAATTTGTTTAAGATTCTGGATATTAGCCTTTTGTCAGATGGGTAGATTGCAGTTTTGTTTTGTTTTTCTCTTCTGTTGGTTGCCGGTTCACTCTAATGATAGGTTCTTTTACTGCGCAGAAGCTCTTCAGTTTAAGTAGATCCCGTATGTCTATTTTGGCTTTTGTTGTTCTAGTCACGAAGTTCCTGCCCGTGCCTATGTCCTGAATGGTATTGCTTAGGTTTTCTTCTAGAGTTTTTATGGTGTTAGGTCTTACGTTTCATCCCTCTGGAGTTAATTTTTGTATAAGGTGTAAGGAAGGGATTCAGTCTGAGCTTTCTGCACATGGCTAAGCCAGTTTTCCCAACACCATTTATTAAATAGGGAATCCTTTCCCCATTGCTTTTGTCAGGTGTGTCAAAGATCAGATGGTTACGTACGTGTGGAGTTATTTCTGAGGCCTCTGTTCTATTCTATTGATCTGTATCTCTGTTTTGGTACCAGTACCATGCTGTTTTTATTACTGTAACCTTGTAGTGCAATTTGAAATCGGGTAGCATGATGCCTCCAGCTTTGCTTTTTTTCTGCTTACAATTGTCTTGGCTATGCAGGCTCTGTTTTGCTTCCATATGACGTTTAAAGTGGTTTTTTTCCCCAATTCTGTGAAGAAAGTCAATGGTAGCTTGATGGGGATAGCACTGGATCTATAAATAACTTTGGGCAGGATGCCTATTTTCACGATACTGATTATTCCTAACCATGAGCAGGGAATGTTTTTCCATCTGTTTGTGTCCTCTCTTATTTCCTTGAGCAGTGGTTTGTAGTTCTCCTTGAAAAGGTCCTTCACATCTCTTTTTAGTTGTATAGCTAGGTATTTTATTCTCTTTGTAGCAATTGTGAATGGGAGTTCACTCATGATTTGGCTCTGTCTGTTATGGTGTATAGGAATGCTAGTGATTTTTGCACATTGATTATGTATCCTGAGACTTTGCTGAAGTTGCTTATTGCTTATCACCTTAAGGAGATTTTGGGCTGAGACGATGGGGTTTTCTAAATATACAATCATGTCATCTGCAAATAGAGACAATTTGACTTCCTCTTTTCCTAATTGAATACCCTTTGATTGTTGTGGGCAGAACTTCAAATATTATGTTGAATAGCAGTGGTAAGAGAGGGCATCCTTGTCTTGTGCCAGTTTTCAAAGGGAATGCTTCCAGTTTTTGCCCATTCAGTATGATATTGGCTGTGGATTTGTCATAAATAGCTCTTATTATTTTGGGATACATTCCATCAATACCTAGTTTATTGAGACTTTTTAGCATAAAGCGCTGTTGAATTTTGTCAAAGGCTTTCTCTGCATCTATTGAGATAATCATGTGGTTTTTGTCTTTGGTTCTGTTTATGTGATGGATTATGTTTATAGATTTGCATATGTTGAACCAGCCGTGCATCCCAGAGATGAAGCTGCTTTGATCATGATGGATACGTTTTTTGATGTGCTGTTGGATTCGGTTTGCCAGTATTTAATGGAGGATTTTTGCATTAATGTTCATCATGGATAGTGGCCTGAAATTTTCCTTTTTAGTTATGTCTCTGCCAGGTTTTGGTATTGTGATGATGTTGGTCTCAAAATGAGTTAGGGAGGATTCTCTCTTTTTGTATTGTTGGGAATAGTTCAGAAGGAGTGGTACCAGCTCCTCTTTGTACCTCTGGTTGAATTCAGCTGTGAACTCAACTGGGCCTGCACTTTGTTTTTGGTTGGTAGGTTATTAATTGCTGCCTCAATTTCAGACATTGTTTGGTGTATTCAGCGATTCAACTTCTTCCTGGTTAGTTTGGGAGGGTGTAAGTGTTCAGGAATTTATCCATTTCTTCTAGATTTACTGGTTTATTTGCATAGAAGTATTTGTAGTAATCTGATGGTAGTTTGTATTTCTGTGGGATCAGTGGTGACATCCCCTTCATCATTTTTTATTGCATCTGTTTGATTCTTCTCTCTTTCCTTCTTTATTAGTCTGGTTAGTGGTCTATTTTGGTTTAAAAAAAAACTGCTGAATTTATTTATTTATTTTTTGGAAGGGTTTGTGTCTCTATCTCCTTCAGTTCTGCTCTGATCTTAGTTATTTCTTGTCTTCTGCTAGCTTTTGAATTTGTTTGATCTTACTCCTCTAGTTCTTTTAATCATGACGTTAGGGTGTTGATTTTAGATTTTTCCTCATTTCTCTTTTGGGCATTTAGTGCTATAAATTTCCCTCTAGACAATGCTTTAAATGTGTCCCAGAGATTCTGGTATGTTGCATCTTAATTCTTAGTGGTTTCAAAGAACATCTTTATTTTTGCCTTCATTTCATTATTTATCCAGTAGTCATTCAGGAGCAGGTTGATCAGTTTTCATGTAAGTGTGCGGTTTTGAGTGAGTTTCTTAATCCTGAGTTCTAATTGGATTGCACTGTGGTCTGAGAGACTATCATGATTTCCATTCTTTTGCATTTGCTAAGGAGCATTTTACTTCCAATTATGTGGTAAATTTTAGAGTAAGTGTGATGTGGTGCTGAGAAAAATGTATATTCTGTGGATTTGGAATGGAGAGTTCTGTAGATGTCTATTAGGACTGCTTGGTCCAGATCCAAGTTCAAGTCCTGGATATCCTTGTTAATTTTCTGTCTTGATTTAATATTGACAGTGGGGTGTTAAAGTCTCCCACTATTATTGTATGGAAGTCTAAGTTTCTTTGTAGGTCAGTAAGAACTTGTCTTATGTATCTAGGTGCTCCTGTATTGTGTGTGTGTGTATGTTAGCTTTTCTTGTTGCATTGATCCCTTTACCATTATGTAATGCCCTTCCTTGTCTCTTTTGATCTTTGTTGTTTTAAAGTCTATTTTATCAGACACTAGGATTGCAACTCCTGCTTTTATTTGCTCTCCATTGGCTTGGTAAATCCTCTTCCATCCCTTTGAGCCTGTATCTTTGCATCTGAGATGGGTCTTCTGAATACAGCACACCAATGGGTCTTGACTCTATCCAATTTGCCAGTCTGCGTCTTACGATTGGGGCATGTAGCCCATTTACATTTAAGATTATTCTTATGTGTGAATTTGATGCTGCCATTTTGATGCTAGCTGGTTGTTTTGGCCTATTAGTTAACATAGTTTCTTCATAGTGTTGATGGTCTTTACAATTTGGTATCTTTGTGCCGTGCCTGGCACTGGCTGTTCCTTTCTGTGTTTACTGCTTCCTTCAAGAGCTCTTGTAAGGCAGGCCTGGTAGTGAGGAAACCTCTCAGCAGGTGCTTGTCTGTAAAGGATTTTATTTTTCCTTCACTTATGAAACTTAGTTTGGCTGGATATGAAATTCTGGGTTGGACATTCTTTTCTTTAAGGATGCTGAATATTGGCCCCCACTCTCTTCTAGCTTGTAGGGTTTCTGCCAAGAGACCTGCTGTCAGTCTGATGGGCTTCCCTTTGTGGGTAACCTGACCTTTCTCTCAGTCTGCCCTTAGCATTTTTTTCTTCATTTCAACCCTGGTGAATCTAATGATTATGTGTCTTGGGGTTGCTCTTCTTGATGAATATCTTTGTGGTGTTCTATTTCCTGAATTTGAATGTTGGCCTGCCTTGCCAGGTTGGAGAGGTTCTCCTGGATAATAGCCTGAAGAGTGTTTTCCAAGTAGATTTCATTCTCTCCATCACTTTCAAATACACCAATCAAATGTAGATTTGGTCTATTCACATAATCCCGTATATCTTGGAGGCTTTGTTCATTTGTTTTCCCTTTTTTCTCTCATCTTGCCTTCTTGCTTTATTTCATTGAGTTGATCTTTAATCTCTGATAGCCTTTCTTCCACTTGATTGATTTGATTATTGAAGCTCGTGTATGCTTCACGAAGTTCTCATGGTGTTTTTCAGCTCCAGCAAGTCGTCTGTGTTAGTCTCTACACTCATTATTCTAGTTAGCATTTCGTCTCAACTTTTTTCAAGGTTTTTAGTTTCCTTGCATTGGGTTAGAACATGCTCCTTTAGCTTGGAGAAGTTTGTTATTACCCACCTTCTGAGGCCTGCTTCTGTCAATTCATCACACTCATTCTATCCAGTTTTGTTCCCTTGCTGGTGAGGAGCTGTGATCCCTTGGAGGAGGAGCAGCGTTCTGGTTTGTGGCAATTTCAGTTTTGCGCTGGTTTCTTCCTGTCTTTGTGGATTTATCTACCTTTGGTCTTTGAAGTTGGTGACTTTTGGATGGGGTCTCTGAGTGGTCATCCTTTCTGTTGGTGTTTCTTTTTGTTAGAAGGAAAACTTACAGGCCTCTCTGCTGTAGGTCCACTCTAAACCCTGCTTGCCTGGGAACCACCCCCAGGGGCTGCAGAGCAGCAAAGATTGCTGCCTGTTCCTTCCTCTGGTGGCTTCATCTCAGAAGGGTACCCAGCAGATGACAGCCATAGATCTCCTGTATGAGGTATCTCCCAGTCAAGATAAACGGGGTCAGGGAGCCACTTGAGGAGGCAGTCTGTCCCTTATCAAAGCTTAGGCACTGTGCTGGGAGATCCATTGCTCCCTTCAGAGCTGCGGGGCAGGGACATTTAAGTTTGCTGAAGCTGAGCCCACAACTGCCCCTTGTCCCAGGTGCTCTGTCCCAGGAAGGTGGGGGCTTTATTAATAACTCCCTGATGAGCTGCTGCCTTGTTTCAGAAATGCCCACCCCAGCAAGAAGGGAGTCTAGTGACAGTCTGCCTGCAGAGGCCTTGCTGAGCTGCTGTGAGCTCTGCCCAGTTGCTGTGTAAATTTCCTTGTGAACTTTGTTTACACAGGCGAGGTTAAAACCAACTACTCAAGCTGCAACATTGGCAGATGCCCTACCCCCTACCAAGCTCGAACGCCCCAGGTTGAGCTCCGACTGCTGTGCTGGCTGTGAGAATTTCAAGCCAGTGGATCTTAGCTTGCTGGTCTTCTTGAGGGTAGAATCAACCAAGCCAATTCACTTTTCTTCCTGGCTAGAGCCCCATTTTTCAGGGAATGAGCGGTGCTGGCTGGCTGGCTGGCATTCCATGCTCCACTGGGGTGTGTGAGAGAAAAAATCTGCTGCAGCCAGAATGACCACCCAGTTTTGTGCTGGAACCCTGGGACATTGGTGTCCTAGGCACTGGAGGGAATCTTGGTGGAAAACTTTGTCTTTTCTGAGACAGAATCTCACTCTGTCACCCAGGCTGGACTGCGGTTTCACTGTCTCTGCTCACTGCAACCTCAGCCTCCAAGGTTCAAGTGATTCTCCTGCCTTAGCTCCCTGAGTAGTGCGGATTACAGGTGCATAGCACCATGCCTGGCTAATTTTTGTATTTTTAGTAGAGACTGGGTTTTACCATGTTGGCCAGGTTGGTCTCGAATTCCTGACCTCAAATGACCACCTGCTGCGGGCTCCCAAAGTGCTGCGATTACAGGCACGAGCCACCATGCCCAGCCATCCTGTGATCTTTATCAGCAGCTGACACTGCATGTCATTCCCCTGCTCAAAACCTTGTAGTAGTTCCAGCTTCTCTTGGGCTAAAGTCTGAATTCCTGAGCTTGGTATTCAAGGCTCTGCCTAGCCCGGGTCCTGCCCCCACCTCCTCTTTCATTGCTCTGCCAGGGCTGAGCCAGTGTTGTGGAGCAGCTGTATCTCTGCCACGGGGCATGTGGTACGATGAGCTCCATGAGCTTCTAGTTTTGGAAGCCCACTTGGTGGGTTCATTACCTGGAGTGTTCGCCTTCCTTGAACTCCTATTCAGCCTGGAAGCTTCCATGCAAGTATCTCCTCCTCCGTGAGGCCTTCTCTTTTCACCGCTATCAAATCCCAGGGAGCAAGCGCAGCACCTCGTTGCTTCCCTGAATTGCCACAGGTCCAGAGCTTCATAATAAACAGTGTTGTCGGCTGGGTGCCGGGGCTTATACCTGCAATCCCAGCATTTTGGGAGGCCAAGGTTGGCAGATCACTTGAGGCTAGGAGTATGAAACCAGCCTGGCCAACATGGTGAAACCCCATCTCTACTAAAAATACAAATACTAGCCAAGCATGGTGGCAGGAACATGTAGTCCCAGCTACTCAGGAGGCTGAGGCAGGAGAATCTCTTGGCCCTGGGAGGTGGAGGTTGTAGTGAGCCAGGATTGCACAACTACACTCCAGCCCAGGTGATAGAGCAAGACTCTGTCTCAAAAATGAATAATCAGTCAATAAAAAGAGCATTGTTCGTTGTACTGTATTACATTTACTCAATTGCACTGTTTCCCATTCGAGATGGTGGCACACTGGAGCTAGGACCCTTTAATTCCTTTACTTCTGGTGCTATACATGTGCTTGGCATACTGCGGGGTGACCCACATGTTTCAGCCATTTATTAAATAATGTTAAACCCCACCTTGCGTCAGACGCTGGGGATGCAATAGTAGCAAGAGAGATAAAGATGGATGATGGGTAACAGACGGGAGATGGATAAGGGAATGGACCCGGATAGGAGGGACGAATGAGAGAAAAAATGGAAAGAAAGGGTTAACAAACTGATGAATAGGGGAGAAGAAATGAGAAATGGATGGATAGATGGAAGGGGCTAGAAGAATCAGAGGGATGGGATTGGGAATGGGTGGGTGGGTGGGATGGGATGGGATGGAAGAGAGAGAGAGGGATGGGGTTGGGGATGGGTGTGATGGGGTGGGAAAAAGGGTCACAGGGATGGATGAAAGCCTGGATGGGGTGGGGGAGTAGAAACAAGAGCTGATGGAGAGGTATAAATAGAAGGATGAGGAAAGATGGAGGAACTAAAGGTTGATGAGGAGAATGATGGGAACGAGATAGCGGGTAAGGGGAAGCTAGAGAAGAATGCAGATGGAAGACTGGCTGGATTGATGGGTGGATATACAGAAAGGTGGACGATGGAAGGGGGGCCTTTACACAGGGAGGGATGGGCAGACGGATCTGGGGCATAGTGGAAACATAGCCCCCAAAATGCCGACAGACCCTCCAGTCAGACCAGGGCTTTCCTCCCGGGCAGGTGGGCATTGTTGGCAGGACAGGGGCCGGAAAGTCCTCCCTAGCCTGTGGGCTGCTGCGGCTCCAGGAGGCAGCTGAAGGCGGGATCTGGATCGATGGGGTCCCCATTGCCCACGTGGGGCTGCACACACTGCGCTCCAGGATTACCATCATCCCTCAGGTGAGGCCAGTCACGGGCTGGGCAAAGGTGGGAGGCGTGGTGGGGCCCTGCTCTGATCCACCGCCCGTCCCCACCAGGACCCCATTCTGTTCCCTGGCTCTCTACGGATGAACCTCGACTTGCTGGAGGAGCACTCGGACGAAGCTATCTGGGCAGCCCTGCAGACGGTGCAGCTCAAAGCTCTGGTGGCCAGCCTGCCCGGCCAGCTGCAGTACAAGTGTGCTGACCGAGGCCAGGACCTGAGGTATGGTCATCCCACCAGGGCCGGGACCTGCAGGGAGGTGGGGGATGGGGAATGGCCAGACTTTCCCAAGGGCCCTCAGGCAGTGCCTCCTCTGGTAGGATTATTACTCTTATGTAATGACCATGTCTCTCTTTTTTGAGATAGTTTCACTCTTATTGCCCAGGCTGGAGTGCAATGGCATGATATATCGGCAATCTCCACCTCCTGGGTTCAAGCGATTCTTCTGCTTTGGCCTCCTGAGTAGCTGGGATTACAGGGCACCTGTCACCACATCTGGCTAACTGTAGTTTTAGTAGAGATGGTGTTTTGCCATCTTGGCCAGGCTGGTCTCAAACTGCTGACCTCCTGATCCGCCCGCCTAGGCCTCCCAAAGTGCTGGCATTACAGGTGTGAGCCACTGCACCCGGCCAAATGTCTCTTATCTGCAATTCCAAGCTCCAACACGGTTTCTGAGTACCAAGATTCCCCCCCTAAATTAGCCTTCCAAACATATTTGGTGGTAAAACACCACCTCAACTGACACAGGGCTACTGATAGCCTTTATTGCTCTTGCTCAGCATTTATTGTGCTATAAAAATACTGTTTGATATTGGGTGGTAACCTCACCACTCACTGGGACTGTAAGTAACAGAATTTTTTTTTTTAATGTCAAGTGTGGGCTGGGTGCTGTAGTTCATGCCTGTAATCCCAGCACTTTGGGAAGCTGAGGCAGGAGGATTGCTTGAGTCCAGGAGTTCAAGACTAGCCTGGGCAACATAGGAAGACCCCATCTCTAGGACTACAGGCGTATGCCACCATGCCTGGCTAATGTATTTTTTCATAGTTACTTGGGAGGCTGAGGTGGAAGGAAAGTTTGAGCCAGGGAGCCGAAGGTTGTAGTGAGCCGAGATCATGCCACAGCACTTCAGCCTGGGTGACAGAGTGAGATCCTATCTCAAAAAAAAAAAAAAAAAAAAAGTTTGTAGGCGTGGTGGCTGATATCTGTAATCCCAGCACTTTGGGAGGCTGAGGTGGATGGATCACTTGAGGTCAGGAGTTCAAGACCAGCCTGGTGAAATTCCATCTCTACTAAAAATAAATTCGCTGGGTATGGTGGCAGGCGCCTGTAGTCCCAGCTACTTGGGAGGCTGAGGTAGGAGAATTGCTTGAACCCAGGAGGTGGAGGTTGCAACGAGCCAAGATCACACCGCTGCACTCCAGCCTGGGCTCCATCTCAACAACTAACAATTGTGGGGAAAAAATACACATAAAATTTACTATCTCAACTTTTGTTGTGGAGACAAGAGTCTGGCTCTGTCATCCAGGCTGGAGTGCAGCGGTGCAATCTCGGCTTACTGCAACTTCCGCCTCCCAAGCTCAAGCCTTCTCCCCCCTCAGCGTCCTGAGTAGCTGAGATTAAGAGGTGTGAGCCACCACGCCCAGCTCATCTTTCTTCTGTAGAGACGGTTTCGCCATGTTGCCTAGGTCTCCCAAAGCTCTGGGATTACAGGTGTGAGCCGCCACAAGCCCATCTGACCCGTTTTTCGGGGTGCAGTTTCTGTAGTAATACGTACATTCAGTTCCACAACAGAACTGAAACTCTACCCATGAAACCCTAACTCCCCTTGTCCCCTACCCAGCCCCTGGCCACCAGCATTTTATTTTATTTTACTTTATTTTTGAAACAAGAGTTTGACTCTTGTTGCCCAAGCTGGAGTGCAACAGCGTGATCTCCACTTACTGCAACCTCTGGCTCCTGGGTTCAAGAGATTCTCCTGGTTCAGCCTCCCAAGTAGCTGGGATTACAGACATGCGCCACCACCCCCAGCTTATTTTGTATTTTTCAGTAGAGACGGAGTTTCTCCATATTCGTTAGGCTAGTCTCAAACTCCTGACCTCAGGTTATCCGTCTGCCTTGGCCTCCCAAAGCGCTGGGTGTTAAGCCACGGCGCGCAGCCTCTTTCTGTATCTCTAAATGTGACTACTCTGGATGAAGTGGAATCATAGTGTCTGTCTTTTGTGACTGGCTTGTTTCACGTAGCATGGTGCCCTCGAGGTTCATCTGTGGTGTAGCCCTGTCAGATTCCCTTCCTTTTAAAGGCTGAATCATTTTCCATGACAGGGATAGACCACGTTTTGCTAATCCATTTATCTGCCAGTAGGTACCCAGGCTGTTTCCACCTTTTGGCCACTTTGAATAATGCCACTATGAACATAGTTGTACAGGCATGCCTTTAAAAACAAACCAAGGTGGCCAGGTGCGTTGGCTCACCCCTGTAATCCCAGCACTATAGGAGGCTGAGGTAGGCAGTTGAGACCAGTCTGACCAATATGGTGAAGCCGTGTCTCTACTAAAAATACAAAAATTAGCCAGGTGAGGTGGCAGGTGCCTATAATCCCTGCTCAAGAGGCTGAGACATTGAGGCAGGAGAATCGTTTGCACCCAGGAGGCAGTGGCTACAGTGAGCTGAGATTGCGCCACTGCACTCCAGCCTGGGTGACGGAGCAAGACTCCCTCTCAAAACAAAACAAAACAGGCTGTTCAGGATTTATAAACCCCTCTGACCCTGAGCGTGTTAGAAGGGCTCGCAGTCGCCAGTCATTTCCAGCATTAGAGGCAGCGTTGCTCGGTGGGTGAGAGTATACACAGGTGACTGACTGCCTGGCGCAATTCCAGGCCCCCCACTTGCCAGCTCTAGGATCTTGGGCAACTTGCCCATCTCTTGTGCCTCAGTTTCTTGTCTGCAAAGTGGAAATAGCACCCACCTACTTTGCAAGGATTGAGTTACATGCACAAAGCTGTTGCAACCGTGTCAGGCAGAGAGGAAACCGTCATTATTCATTACAGTCCTCAGAGTCACACTCCTGCTAATGTCATTTCAAAGTTGGAATTGGAGGCCTGAGCCTTGCCTGAGGTCACACAGCTTGTAAGTAGTGAGGTCGGGACAAGACCCAGGCCCTCTACTGCCTGTGTGACGGTAGTGGGTTCTGATCGTCTAAAGGAATGCTTTAGACGTTTTGTGGAAGGGTTTATGGTGTTAAGACAGCCATGCTGGGGCCCGGGGCCCAGTTCCCACCTGGGTCAGGGACTCACTGTCCTCATGACCTGGAATCTCAACTTCTCCACTTGGAATCAGAGGGTGCTACTCCATGCCAAGGGCTTCCTCTGTGACAAGCCCACACCCTTTTACATGACTTGTCTTAACAATTCAGTGGGGGGATCCACAGACTCTGGGGTCATAGGACTTGGGTTCAAATTAGGGACCCACCACTAGCCTTGACACCTTGATCAAGCCACTGAGCTTCTCTGTATCTGTGTCCTCCTCTTTCAGAAGGGGAGAACAATAATACCTTCCTTTGTGGACATGAGGAGGGTTGAGTCAACATACATACAAGCACTTACATGTCTGGTACAAGGTGAAGACGCAGAAGTAGACATAGCCATAGACAGGCCAGGTGCAGTGCTGATGCCTGGAATCCCAAGTCCCACCCATGTGTTATACACGTGTACATTTAAGGCCTGCTTGACACCAGCCTGGAATGTCGTAGGAAGAGCATAGATTATATTCTGGAAGCAATGGTGGCTCATCGTAGGTTTGTTGGCAAGGGCAGGACTGAAGTCAAAGCTGTGCTTTTGCTGTTGGAGGAAATGTCAATTAGCGCAGCTGTTACGGAAAACAGCATGAGGATTTCTCAAACTAGAAGTAGAACTACTAGGGCACGGTGGCTCATGCCTGCAACCCCAACTTTGGGAGGCCAAGGCGGGTGGATCACCTGAGGTCAGGAGTTTGAGCCCAGCCTGGACAACATGGCGCCATCCTGTCTCTACTTAAAAAATAGAAAAAATTAGCCTAGTGTGGTGGCGCATGTCTGTAATTCCAGCTATTTGGGAGGCGGAGGCAGGAAAATCACTTGAATGGGGAGGTAGAGGTTACAGTGAGCCGAGATTGTACCACTGTACTCCAGCCTGGATGAAGAATGAATTTCCATCTCAAAAAAAAAAAAAAAATGAGAGCAAAGAAAAAAAATGGCCATCAACAGAAAAAAATGAAATACTCATGTCACAGGAAGGAAAACAGACACAAACGATTTGAATGACTTAGCTAGAGTCGGCCTGCTGAAAGCTGGCAGGAAGGGATTCCTCAGCTCTGCAGCTGGCAGACCCGGCGTGTGGGGATGTCTGAACACAGGCGCTGCACGCCTGCACTCTCACAGACCTGTTTCTGGGCACACCCCACACATCACGATGTGCCAACACACATCCCACCTAATTGTCCCAATCATTCCCAGTGTGGGCCAGAAACAGCTCCTGTGTCTGGCGCGTGCTCTTCTCCGGAAGACCCAGGTCCTCATCCTGGACGAGGCTACAGCTGCTGTGGACCCGGGCACGGAGCTGCAGATGCAGGCCGCGCTCGGGAGCTGGTTCGCACAGTGCACCGTGCTGCTCATCGCCCACCGCCTGCGCTCCGTGATGGACTGTGCCCGGTAAGCCCCCGCCCCGGCCAGACCTCCAGGCAGCCCTGCAGTGGGGTGCGGGGGGCAGAGGCAGTTGTGGGCAACTGGCTCCAGGTTAGAGCTGGAAGGGCCCTGAATGGGGCCAGAGCAGGAGGAATGCCCAAGAACACCCGCCAAGCGGGAAGGCTGCCCAAGGACATGCGCCCAGCACACGCTTCCAACCCAGCTGTGAGGGTCCGGGAGCTGCACAGACAGCAGGAGCTCTATGGAGAACACCTCAGTGCAGACACACTGGGCTCTCACAGCTGCCGAGAGCCTGGGCTGGTGTCCAAAGTGCCTCTCTGTCTCCCTCTCCCCCGCAGGGTTCTGGTCATGGACAAGGGGCAGGTGGCAGAGAGCGGCAGCCCAGCCCAGCTGCTGGCCCAGAAGGGCCTGTTTTACAGGCTGGCCCAGGAGTCAGGCCTCGTCTGAGCCAGGCTCCTCAACCATCCCCGCCCCACTGGGCCGGCCCGCAGAGCCTGCAGTGCTGGAGATGGAAGTGGTCCCGGGGTCATCAACAGATCCACGAGATGTTGAGTCTAGACCTGCTTTTGCTCTCTGGGAGGAAAATGGCAGAAAAAGTGGCCAAAGGTCACACAGCACCAGAGCTGGAAGGACCTAGCAATATACAAACCACCTGCAGCCAGTGTCAACAGTGACCCTCAGCTCTGGCTGAGCCCTGGACTCACCTGGGGACTCAAGTACCTGCCTAGGCCCGCCGTAGACCCTTAAATCGGTATCCCTGGGGCTGGGGACTGCCATGGTGTGTGTACGTCTTACAAATTGACAGGTTTATTTTCGGATAATCCTAAATTCACGTGCAGTTAAAGGAAACAATATTGAGAAATTCATGTACTCGTTACCCTATTTCTCCCAAAGGCAACATCTTGCTAACTCTAGAGTATCACAGCCAGGGAATTAACATCGACACACCAGTCTTGCTTGGTTTTCCCATTTGACTTCTACATGTGGGTATGTATTTATTTTGGTCCATGCAGTTTTATCACACATATAGGCTTGTGAATCCACACCATGGTGAGGATACGGAAGAGCCACCACCATTTTCTGACCACACCCATCTCCCGCACTCCTGCCCCCAGCGACCATGCTCTGTTCCCCAGTTTTGTGTATATATAGATCGAGCTATATATATTTTTTGAGACAGTCTCACCCTGTGGGCCCAGGCTGGAGTGCAGTGGCACAATCTCAGCTCACTGCAACCTCCATCTCCCAGGCTCAAGCAATTCTCCCACCTCAACCTCCCAAGTAGCTGGGATTACAGGTGCCCGCCACCATGCCCAGCTAATATTTGTATTTTTAGCAGAGATGGGGTTTCACCATATTGACCAGGCTGGTCTCCAACTCCTGACCTTAGGTGATCTGCCTGCCTCAGTCTCCCAAAGTGCTGGAATTACAGGCGTGAACCACCATGCCTGGCGGGTGCATTTCTTACATGTGGTTGCTAAAGACCAAATTCCAGCTTCCAGCTGGGGGCACCCCAGCAACCATCAGAACACCTGGAGTGTTTCTTTTCACCGTTCTGCTCCAGAGGCTGCTGACATCCAGAGGCCGGACTCCACTGAGCGTGGAGAACTTGCTGTAACCCAGGGCAGCCAATGCACAGCTCATTGCATTCCTCACACGTTACTTTTCGAGAGTCTTACTCTGTTACCCAGGCAGAAGCCCAGTGCTACGATCTCGGCTCACTGCAACCTCTGCCTCCCAGGTTCAAGCGGTTCTCCTGCTACAGCCCGCTGAGTGAGTAGCTGAGATGACAGACATCCACCACCACACCTGCTAATTATTTTTGTATTTTTACTAGAGCTGGAGTTTCACCATGTTGGCCAGGGTGGTCTTGAACTCCTGACATCAGGTCATCCGCACCCCCCTCAGCCTCCCAAAGTACTGGGATTATAGCCGTCAACCACTATGCCCAGCTGCCTCACACCTGTTTCTGACAGTGGTCAGAAAATTAATATTGGACTCACCAAACCAGCTTCAGTCACCAGGAAAGAAGAACCATGTCTAACACAGCCAAGCTTAAGGCCACAGAGAGATCGCGGGGAAGGGAGGGCAGCGTGAGACGCCAGATCCTAACTTGACACTAGCCAGGGCCTCTCACTGACCTCGTGGCACTGCTGCAAGGATCACCTAAGTTAATACAACATGGATTTGAGTGTGTGGAAGCAGAGAAGGCAATACCCCAGGCTTTCTTAACCTTAGCATTACTGACACGTAGGGCCACAAAGTTCTGTGCTGTGCAAACACGTCCTGTACACCATAGATGGTCAGCAGTGTCCCTGGCCTCTTATTCACTAGATGCCGTAACATCCTCCCCCTTCCACCACCACAGGTGTGGCAAAGTATCTTCAGACACTGCCCCACATCCCCTGGGGAGTCAAAACCACCTGGTTGGGCCAGACACAGTAACTCACACCTATAATCACGCTTTGGGAGGGCGAGGTAGGCCGATCACTTAAGGTCAAAAGTTCGAGACCAGCCTTCCTAACATGGTGAATCTCCAGCTCTACCAAAAATATAAAAAGTAGCTGGGTGTGGTGGCAGGTTCTAGTAAGCCCAGCCGTTCGGGAGGCTGAGGTAGGAGAATCATTTAAACCCAGGTGGAGGAGCCTGCAATGAACTGAGATCACGCCACTGCACTCCGGCCTGGGAGACTGGGAAAAAAAAAAAAAAAAAACCCAAAACACAAAGACCCACGTGGTTGAGAATCCCCGGTCTAACCTGTCCCGCTGCCATCCATCATCCGCGGATATTTGGGCGGTGGCTGTGCCGGTGCCAGGCGGAGTGGGGAGGCGGGGAGTCCACCTTTTCTTGAGGACACTGGGCCTGCTCCGTCCATCTGGTCAAGGGACTTTCTGATGGCCCATCCTGACACAGGGTTTCGTAATGCCCCTTTTGGCCTGGAGTAATCCAAATCTAGATGGAAACACAGCTTCTACCTCCTTCAAAGTGGGGCAGGGAGTCCACAGTCTTCACCTGCCCCGAGTCATGCCCACAAAGCTGCGGACCTACAACTGCTTACTCCTAGCTCCATTTCACAGGTGAGGAAACTGAGGCTCGAGGAGTTGACATGACTTCACAACTCCTCACAAGTGGATGACCCAGTTAGTAAGGACAGTGGGGATCTGCTTCTGAGTCACTGCACCGGGCACGTGTATGCTGCAGACGAAGGAAGGGCAGCAGATGCAGCCTTTGTCTTTTCTCTGCCTGGAGCTGAGCCCCTCGACAGCTTTGCACAGTGACCCCAGGCAGGAGCTGCCATGTGGGCGTTTGGCAAACTTGGCTGGGCATGAGGCAGGGCCACCAGACCCTCCTTCCTAGGCTGTGTGCCAGGGAGCAGAGTGTGGGCCACGGGCAGCTGGCACGTGGGAACTGGTGCCTGCCAGTCTGCTAATGAGGCTGCTGTCCGGCCTGCACCACAGCTGCCTGGAGATGTGCCAGCAGGACTGCCCAGGCCATTCATCCCCCTGAAACAGGCTCTGGCCAGCAGCGCCTGGCTGGCGGGTGGAACACGAGTTAGATCGAGCAAGGCTGCAGACCCCCTCCCTCGGTCAATGCCAGCACCCGGTAGGCTCTTCAAACTCAACTCTGTCCACATTGCCACTGCAAACACCAAACTACCTGCACCTGACACTGCTCTAAATGCCTGCCACACACACACCCAGCAGACACAGGGAGGAAGCCACCATCACTGGGCCCCTCAGCAGGACACTTTGATAAGGTCCTACCATCTGGCCCTTTTAGCAGATGAGAAAGCAGAGCGTAAGTGGTGTCTGCCCTAGTGGTCTGGCTTCAAAGACTGTGTCCTCACCACCAGGCTACCTTTGTACCCCAAACCTAAAATGCAATTAAAAAAAAAATTACAGGCAGGAGCCACTCCATCCGGCCAATACTGCTAATTCTAATGGTCACAACTTCACCAGCTTCTCACTGGGCACCTTCATACTCCGGGTCCTAACGCAAGCCAATGACTTAATTCAGGCGTGAGCCACTACGCCTGGCGATACTACCCATTCTCATGGTTATGACCTTACTAGCCTTTCACTAGTCACCTTCATACTCTGTGGTTCCCAGTGCACATCAGTGGTTTCAGTGGGGCGTGAGTCACTGCACCCAGACAATACCACTAATTCTAATGCTCACCACCTCAACCGCCTTCTCTGAACACCTTTGAACACCACAATCCCTAGTGCAAGCCAACAATTTCAAACAGGGACAGCAAGGCTTGAGGGAACATGTGGCAGTGACAGAGTGTCCCCCGTGCACATGTACGTAGTACGTGGTTTTAGGAGTGGGAGAAATGCTGTGCTCTCCAAACGTAAGAAACGTTCCTTACTGCCCAGATTCACCCAGTCGAAGCTAGAAACCAAACACTCTAGTCTGACTACTCCACTACCCACAACTTGGGCACCACATCAATTAGGAAAGGCGGACATACTTCTCTTCCGCCGACACTGCTCCATTTCCGGCCTCCCGCGATGGTTGGGTGGGGACCAGGTGACTCATTTGGGACAACGAGCTGGGAGGGGGATTCACTGTGTCAGTTCTGGTTTTAGACACAAAATAGTGGGGGAAGAGTCGTCCACTCTCTTCTCCCACTGTGGGGACCTGGAAGCCAGCCCTTGGGAGGCCATGTCATAAAACCAGGACAGTCTGAATCAGCTGTCACAGGGAAATCAGCTACCCTAGAGAGGCAGCTGACTCTCGTCAAGAACCGCAGGAGCAGGAGATAAAGCCTTGCATGCATTTCCCAAGCTTTTATGGCGAATTTTACACTGCAGCATGGCCTTGCCTCTCCGGACTAACATAAAGGGACTTTCAGGCCCGGCGCGGTGGCTCATGCCTGCAATCCCAGCACTTTGGGAGGCTGAGGTGGGCAGATCCCTTGAGCCCAGGAGTTTAAGACCCATCTGGTTAACACAGCAAGACTCTGTCTCTATAAAAAATTTTAACAATTAGCCAGGCATGGTGGTACATGCCTGTAGTCTCAGCTACTCTGGAGGCCAAAGCAGAAAGAACGTTTGAACCCAGGACGCTGAGGCCGCCGTGAGCTATGATTGTGCCACTGCATACCAGTCTGGGCAACAGAGTGAGACCCTGCCTCTAGGAAAAAAAGGCAGGGGGCAGGATTTTCAAGGATCATTCTGCCCACATGTGATTTCTGCCTCACCTGTGTCTTAGAACCTGACAGAAGCTACGTGTACCACACACATCACTGCTCACAGGGTGTGTATGATCAGCCTCATTTTACAAAAGTAAGTGAGGCTCAGAGGCTAAGTGACCTTCCCAGGGTCACATGAACAGCAAATGACAAGAGCAGGACTCAAGCTAGGGTCTGTCCACCCTGCGGCTGCCCCGCCTTCCCACTGAACCCCACCTGACGCGCGACCTCTAGGACTCGCTCTTTCTGGCAACAGCTCCCACCAGAGGCGACATGTTTGTCAAAAGGAAAGAGAAACAGGAAGATCACACATCCTGACAGTGCCAGAGGAGATGGCTGGAACCCTGGCTGACACCCTGAAGGAAAGGGAAACACCGTTTAGAAAGAAAGAAAATATATATATATATGTATTTTTTTTTTACTGCAAATGTTCACGTTTCCAGTGTAAGTCATTACAAAGGATCCCCCAAAACTTGGTTTACCTAATGCAAAAGAATGGTATAACTTACAAAAAATAAATATATTTTTACCTAAAAGAAAGATGCTCTCTGGCTGTGAAGTCGGTGGCATAATGCTTTTTGAGACAAAGTCTCGCTCTGTCGCCCGGCTCCGGCTAGAGTGCAGTGGCACTATCTCCGCTCACCGCAGCCTC